CCCTAGAGATTATGCTTTGGAAATCACTTAGACATGGCCAAGATAAAATTTGAATTCAAGTCCTCGATTTCCAAATCCTGTGCTCTTTAATGAATCCAGGTTACTTTAGAGAGGAAATGTCAACTTGGGAATGAAGACAAGTAGGGGGACTAGAAATGTCACAAATCGACATTCTGTTCACCATTTTTATTCAAAGGGCCAAGAAATTTAACAAATTAGATAAGATAAATGAACCAATCTGGGAAGAGCTAGGATAGCTGTATGTGCCGTAATACAAGAAAACACTAACCAATTAGAAAGTGAATCTTTTGGAGACAAATAGACTTATTAAAATTCCTTTCCAGAAGAAAGATATCCAAGTATCTAAGCAGAAAATTCAGAATTCAAGGTAGAAAGAATAGGAGAGGATTATGATTTGCCCAGAGCAGTCCACATTAATATCAAGCTGGATATGGAGACCTGACTTCCCCTCAAGGCTTCCTTTCACGGTATCATGAACAGCACTTCCTACTAGTGCCATTTGCCATTTTCTCTTAGGATTTTACAGAGATTTACACTCTAAGACTTGACTTTCAGGGTCTTTAATGAAGTATAAAGACAAACTTCATGAGCTCCACTTGAATTTCTGAGCAAAAAAAATCTACCCTAGTCATCTCTATCTTAATCAAAATTTCTGGGTGAAACCCTGATACTCGAAGTTGTAATAATGCACTTCCATCCTCCCCAAGTTTCTTATGAATCCTTACAAGATTGTAGTTTAAAGTAGAATAATTCTCTCTATGCATTTCTTCTAAATAAACCTTTCTAGCCCTCTAATTTATCATTTCTTAACTTCCTACTCCTAAATGTCTTCTGGGGGCTTATTCCAGGATGACTGGTGAAAAAATAGCACTAAACCCCAGTGTATGTATATCACGGGAGGGGGGGGAGGTGTCTTTGGGCTGGGGATGAAGAAGTTGGGAAGGCCCTGTAGGGCTCACTTTTACCCTATATCAAGGTGTTTTTGATCATTCTTGGTCATTTCTCTTTGCAGAAAATATGAGAAGTTCACCACAGTTACACTGTAGCCCTGAAATGAATGTTACCAATTGCACCAGGTGCAGTTCATCTAGGTAATTTCCAAGAGCAAGTCAAGACACTTGGCAGAAGACATGGATTACATGTTGAGACTTGATTGTTTAGTTTGGCTCCTAAACCAACTAGCCATGTATTCTTGTGAAGAAAAATTCAACATTCTAACTTCTTTCTTCTTCATTTAAAATGTATTTGGACTAGGTCTAAAGATGTAGCTTAGTGGTAGAGTGCTTGCCTGGCAGGTGAAAGACCTTGGGTTTGATCCTCAGTACCACACACATGCATGAGAGGTGTGGAGGAAGGGGAAAGAGAGAGAGTGAGAGAGATAAGGAAAAAAATTACTTGGTTGAGATCTGTGTTTTGAGCTTCCTTGATACCATAAAAAATGATATTTGTATCCATCATGTTCACACAGACATACTACAAACAAATTTCATGAAGTGATACCTAACTTTGTGTGATAACTCTGATACCTTCATGCTATTTTCAATTCTACTCCATACTTTGAATAAATGCAGTCATGAATGAGTCATGAATTTACAGTGTGAAAAAACAATGGATTCAATGCTATATAAGTTTTTAATCTAATATAAAAGTTGAAAATGAATTAATTAGATGTCTCTGCTCTTGTTTATACTTTTAAAGTACCCTATTGGTAGGATTATCTATTTATGTATATGCAATAGATTTGAATAGAATATAAAATTTCAAATTAAATTGGCAAATTTAACTAATTATATTCTCTTGGGATTCAAGTGTTTTGTGCTTTCAGTCATCAAGCACTGAAAACCTCATCTCCTAATCACTTACTAAGAACTTCTTATGAGTTGCTATCCAGTAATATTTTACTTGTCACTTCTTTCATTCCTGTTTCCCCAGGAACATCTGGATGAAGGCAGTAACAGAGTGCAGAGGGAGGGAGTCAAAGTAACCACAAGAAGCCATCTCTTTCCTCCCAAACACATACCTGAGGGCTGACATCATAGCCACATGGCATGAACTACAGATGAGAAAAGAACTGGATTTAAATCAGGAAAATTCACCTTTATCAGATGAAGACAGTAACAGTGTCAGCAGGCAAATGCACAGAGGTTGTGCTGAAGAACTAGAAATCAGCAACCAAAGTCATTATTATGGCTCTGGAAATAACTTCTGCTAGAGCAATAAAACAGGGTAAGGTCCCACAACTGAGCTTTCACTGATGCTCTTCTTCTCTCTGACACTATTTTTATTCTGTAGAAAATAGTCCCCCAAAAGATAACTGAAAAGAAAGAGTCCTAACACCTCTGAGTTTTCAAATCAGCATCTCACGCACCCTGACTCTGCCTGCCTGGGAGGGCTAGCCCTCTGCTTGGCTGCAACCAGTTTAACTCCTCCTTTGGACCCCTGAGCCAATCCTTCCCTGAGAAGTAGTGCAAGAGCACCCTCAGTAATTCATGTGAGCTCACTTCTTGACCTATGGAAAACTGTAAAAGTTTCCAGAATTATAAAGTGAAGATGCCATATGGCTTCCTGGATCCAATCATAGATCAGAATGCTATTTAGAATGATTTGACGGTGTTAGACTTATGAGTTCATTCAGCAAAAGACAAGGCACATAGTGACCAACCAGGCTAAGCCAAGGGACAGAAAGTATGTACTCCCATGTCTGTGATTTCAGCCCTGTCTGGACCACACAGAGGCTAAAGTAGTGGCCAGTACACAGGGAAGCAGGGTAGAGCATCTCTGCAGTTGTTAGGATAGTCTCTTCTTTTTATCCTTTGCTTTTTCTTCTGCCCGCTCACTTTAAGTTTTGAGTGGGTGCTGGGGATTGAACCCAGGGCTTCCTGCATGCTAAACACACACTAGACAGCTAAGTTTTCTTTCCTGTCCAGCTTACTTCTTTCCTTTTTTTCAATTTACTTTTTTTTTTTTTAAACTTTGGCAGTGCTCGGGATTGAACCCAGGGCTTTATGCATGCTAGGCAAGTGTTCTACCACTCAGCATTATTCCCCCAATCCTTGATTTAATTTTAGTTACTTTTACTTATTAATATTTAACTTTAATATCTTCCTCACCATATTATTTCAACTGCTCTTGATTGTTTCTGCAATAAACACAGCCTTACAAGCTAATGTAGAATTAACAAAGAGTTGTTGGAGTCATTATAGAGCTATGTCTTACTTTGTATATTATCCCAAAGATTTCTATGATATTTTCAGGAGGCCCAGCCTGAATTACATGTTATCTAATACACTGCCAGTTTATTCATGCAGCAAATTGAAATTATGCTCATAGATGATTAGAACCAGAAGACATTTCAAAGATCATCAAATCCAGTCCTTTAATTACACAGATGAGAAAACTGTAGCCCAGAGAGTTCAAGTGACTTACTCCAAATCTAATATTCAGTGTGGTTTGGAGCCAAACATATGAGACAGATAAAACTATGAAGTATGGAAAATTGTGTGCACACTATCATTTCCTGAGAAACTGATTTTGGTCTTTGGATGTTAACCACCTGAACAAAGTCCAGTGCATATGTCAACTGCACACCAAAACCTAATATGAATCCCGGGACCTCATTCCCCATGTGCTTGGGATGAAAAATGAACTGTTTCCCACAGAAGGTTCCACTCGAGATAAAACTATATGTTTCTCTTGCACTCAGGATTCTGGAGAAACCTAAAGTCATGCTTCCAAAACACAGAATGTGAAGCACTGCAGAGAATAACAATTTGCTTGGAATGAATGAAGAATAGTAACCAGACCCTCTGCAGGAGAAATAAATGAGAAATTGAGTAGAGTTTCTGAGCAGGAGATTTTTTTTCCTTTTTATTTATTTCCTGTGGGGAGTAAGAGCTTTAAAAAAGGAACACCTGGGGTCCCTGGAGGAACATATGCAGGCACCAGCAATGATCCAGTTCTCTCTCAGTGAATAGTACTATGCTTCTGGGGCAATTCAGAGGTCGTGAAATGTTTAGTGAGCACAGTCACCAAATGCACCTAATGCATAAGAAAGCCCAGACTTCTGAAAACATACAATCTCAGGTGGGGAAACGAGCCTGTGGAACATGACACCCTCATAAACCTCACAGACTCTTGGGACAGGCAGCATCCTTGATACATGTCATCTCAAAGACTCTGCCTGCAGGTATTTGTTTCCTAGGATACATTTGCAAGGAGCAAAATAATGAGAAGAACTAAGTAATAGGAAAAATACAATATTTCCTTTTAAAAGGAAAAATTAAAAAGAACATCAATTTCATTAGGTTAAATTTAAAAATGTATATTTTGACAAGAAAACACCCCTTCCCTTATCCAAAATTCCATGCAGCAGTCTCTTATTTTTACAGTGTTATTGTTGTTTTTCATAACTTCTTAAAATAAGTTTTCAGTCTGATTGGTAACTTTTAATTTTGGTGGAATTTTAAACTTGCAGAAAGATTGCATAAGCTTCCATATTCCTTCTATTCAAATTTGCCATATATTTGTATTTTGCCCCCACTGTATGAACTCCTTCCCTCTCTCTGTCTCTCTTTCTCTGTCTTCTTGCTTTCTCTCTTGCCCTTTCTCTCTTTGATTCATTTGATCCACTTCAGAGTTATCTGTACACACTGTGTCTTTACTTCAAAAATCTTCAGTGTTTTGTTCCTAAGAACAAAATAGTTCCCTTACAAAATCACTGTACCATTATCAAATTTTGAAAATTTCATATCGAGGAAAATCAATATTGATACAATACAACATGAGTATTAATACTGATGTAATACTCCTATCTGATCATGATTCTATTTTTAAGGAAGGTGTTTAAAGTCACCTACTTTATTCTAACTATGACTTTCATGGTGTGACCCAGATTTAGAGACTAAGCATTCTTTGTGTTAGATATTAGTACCGTTTTGTAACACAGTAAATGAGACCAAGCAGACAATGTGTCTTGTTACCTGTTGATGCATCAATTGCTTCATACTTTATTGTAAAGCCTTCATAAGCGAGGTCAGAGTCAGCCACAAATATCAACATTATTGAGTTGTCACTGCTGGTGAGAGAAGGCAGGATGGATTTTCCACAAAATCTATTCCAAACGGAGAAAGAACAGATAAGATACATGGGTTTTAAAACATTTAGTATATTTGAAATGATGGACCAAAAATTGGGACATGTAAATATGATAATAAGTTTTCTTATATAACTCCAGCCAACTTAAAAAGCAAACACATGTCAGGCAAAAAAAAAAAAAAAAAAAATTTGCAAACTTGGAAGATCCTTCTATTCTTGATTACTTCCCTGAAATGGTTTGGTGTGTGTCTGGCTATGTAACTTGACATGTGTTAGAATTTTGATGAAATTAGAAAGCACAGTTCCATTAGATTGCCATTTAGCATATTAATGAACTTGTTCATAGAAATGTAACAAATATAAACAGTGAAGGGAACTCATATATCATCAATTCTTAGAGTGCAGACTCAAGTGTCACCTCTGTTACTTAGAGGCAATATGACTTTGGGCAAATCACTCAATCTCTCTGCATCAGTTTCTCCATCTTGAAAATGGAGGTGATGATAGTGCCTACTTCATAGAGTTATTCTTGGGAAATGATGGGTTAAGATACTGTACATAAAGCACTTAGATCAGTGCCTGGAATAGTAATCCTAGAGAGGTGGAATCTGTTGTCTTTAACAGCGGGCCTGTGGAGAGGAAAAGGTTTGATTATAAAGCCATATTGTCTTTCTGCTGAACAAAAGCAGTTTTACTCAGAACAAAATTTTCTAGTATTGACAAAATAATAAAAGACATTAAGCCATGAGATTTTAGCCAGAGAAATACCTGTAAGAAGGAAAGGCAAGTAAAATAGAAATCTCAAGTCTAAACAGACTTGGCAAAATTAGTCAAATAGAATGACAGAGAAAAAAATACTATGAAAATGAATGTAAGGGGAAATGTTGAATATGAGAAAGAGATGGATTAATTGCTGAGGGAAATTAAAAAGAATTTAGTGTATAATGCCATTTCAGTGTTTAAAAGGATTTAACATCTTGATCAAAATAAAGGTAGGTAATTAATTAAATCCTTAATTTATATGTCCATATCTACTAAATTTGGGCAAGATCATTCTAGTTTATGCCATTCAGCAAAAATTATGTATTTTTCAGTGGTTATAAATACCCATCCATCCCCCCCAAAAAAAGAAAAATAGAAAAGTTTAAAAAGTTAAGAAACAAAAGATGACAAGGGAGAATAAAACCAGAAGAAAAAAATTAACTTAAGAAAATAATGGATAGAGAAACAAATGTTTTAGAATAAAAAAATAAGTAAAAGAAAATGCAAAATGAAGAAACAAAGCAATCAGGAGAATTCCATTTCCAATGAGGATGTAATAATAACAGCTAGATTTAATTTTACACCTGAAACAATTGAAACCTGAGCAAATATTTAAAATGATGGCTCTCAAGACACTGGATATCAAGTGATGATGAACAACAGGAAACAAATGAGTTACAAAGCAAAACTGAAAAGGACTGAACTGCTTTCAAGCAATTTAACTGCATTCCTAGACATTTATAGGAATATAATAATATCTAGAGCCAAAAACATAAAAATTAAAAATGCCTAACATTTTATCAAATATTTCCAGGGATAGAAAGAAGCAGCAAAGTATGATTCATAATGAAAGGAAAATTAAAATTAACTGAAAAAGGGTTCAAAGCTTAATTGTAAGGTATGAACTGCTAGAAGAACACATGGAGGAGTTCTCTATAACATTGGTCTTGGCAGGATTTTCATGGAAAAGATCTTAAATGAACAGGCAACAAAAAATAAATAAACCAGTGGGGTTCTATTAACTATAAATCTTCCATATGGCAAAAACAAACAGCAGGGTGAAGAGAAAAACCTATGGAATGTGAAATAATATCTGCAAACTATACATCTCACAAGCAGTTTATGTCCAAAATACATAAAGAATGTGAACAATTCAATAGCAAAAACACAAGTGACTTGATCAAAAAAGGGGCAAAAAAACCATAAATAGACATTACTATTAAAAAAAAACCACAGAAATGGCCAACACGTGTATTAAAAAATGCTCACTATCACTCTTCATTAAAGCAATGCAAATAAAAACCACAATAAGATATCATACCATATCTGTTAAATGATTATTATAAAAAAGGATAACAAGGATTGGTACATATTTTAAAAATAAAAAATAATTAATACAGCCATTATGGAAATCAATATATAGAGGTTCCTCAAAAATTAAAATTAGAACTATCATATGACCCAGCAATCCTCCTACTAAGTATATAGCTCAAGGAAGCAAAATCAGTATGTTGAAGAAATATCCACCCTCTCATGTTCATTGCAGCATTATACAAGGTCCAAGATATGGAATCAACCCAAAGGTCCATCAATAGATGATTAGAAAATGTGATATAGATATATAGATATGAAAATGTAAATATAGATACCCCCACCACACACACACCATGGAAGACCATTCAGTCATAAAAATTAATGGAATTCAGTTACTTGGAACAACAGGGATGATCTTGCAGAGAACATTGTATGACATTAAAGAAACTAGGCACAGAAAGAAAAATCCCACATGAGATCACTCATATGTGGAATCTATAAAAAGGTGATCTTATAGATGCAGACAGTATAATAATGGTGCTGACTGGAGGCTCAGGTGATTGGGGGAAAGGGTTGGGAGATGATGTTGAAAAGATTCACAATTACAGTTATAGGAGAACTAAATTTCAAAGGATCTGTTGTACAGCAGGGTGACCGTAGTCAATCGTACTTGATATCTTTGGCAAACATGAAAAGAGTGGATGTTTTGTGCTATCACCGTTAAAATGATAAATATGTGAGGTAGTATGTTAGTTAATTGGATAGAATTAACTATTCTGTAAGATGTATTATATACTTCAAAATATCATGGTCTACAAAATAAAGAAAAACATGTTGTCAATTTAAAAAAGAAATAAGAGAAAATAGATGGGAAATGGTGGTACGTGCATTACTGATTTTGTGCCTTTCTGAACAAAAATCTATAAAAAAAATGATGGTGGAATGTGATAGACATCATTATTCAAAGTACATGTATGAAGACACGAATTGGTGTCAACATACTTTATATACAACCAGAGATTTGAAAAATTGTGCTGTATATGTGTAATAAGAATTGTAATGCATTCTGCTGTCATTTATTTTTTTAAAAAATCCGTAATAAATAAATAAATACAATAAATACTTTAGTCAAAAAAACAAAAATTAAAAATAAACAAGCAAGCTGCCAAGTTTAGCATGAAAAAAAAGAAAAACACCTTGGGCTGGGGTTGCAGCTTAGTTAGTAGAGTATTTGCCTAGCATATGTGATGCACTGTGTTTGATCATCAGCACCACATAAAAATAAATAAAGTACTGTGTCTGTCTTCAACCAAAAAAAATATTAAAAACACCTCACCTCCCAAGAAATGTCTCAGAACCAGTGTCATAAACTTCCAGGTAATCTTTTGAGCAATTGTAATGAAACTCTAGATAAAACTTGTCAAACACCAAACGAATCCGTTTTCCAGATTGAACCCGTACATGCCAGGTACAGTTGATACCACTGGGGTAGATATTTGGATGACCAGGACTTTTAATGATTCCTGTGGACTGTGTAAGAACTTGTCCACATGCTGTTGAAATAAAAATAAAAATTATCACAACAGATAACCAACAGGCTCCATGGATTTAAAAAAATATACATGGATCATAACTTCTTAAAATCTCAAAAGAATAGTGCCGTTTCTTATATGCCACTTAAGATAACTTTTTTCTTTTGTTAATAGATACCAAATATCTATTGTTATGTGTTGATTGAAAATATATTCTTTGCCATCAGTGCACTTTAAAATATTTTTTACAGCGTAGACATTTTTGTGCAATTTGTTTCTATTGTTTAATTATTTGAATGTAAGCAAAAGAGAAGATACAATCTCTTACCCAAATCCTCAGTACTGAACTTAGCCATGAAACCATGATTTTCAGTAGAAGAACTTTTCACAAATGTGACATAAAGAATATTGTACACAGATGTTATTAATGAAGTTATGTTGGTGCCACAGTACTTTTCATTTTCAGGAGAACCCAAAATGGAGCTGCTACCAACCTAAAGTAAAACAGATAAACCCCAGTTTATTTTGTTAGATGTCTATTTTGGAAAACAACTTCAAGAACAATTATTTTATAAACCCTTTTATTAACATACTAAAATCAATTTGAAAACATCATCAATTTTAGAACATTTTATTTACCCCAGGAGAAATTCCACGTCCATTAGCAGTCACTCTCTATTCTCCTGCCATTAGAGCCCCAGGCAGCCACTAACCTACTCTCTGTCCCTATAAAATGTCTATTCTGGACGTTCCAAACAAATGAAATCATAAGATATATGGTCTTTTGTGACTAGACTCTTTTATGTAGTGTAATGTTTTCAAAGCTTACCCATATTGTAGTAGGCATCATTACTTTATTTCTTTTTAATGCCATATAATATTACATTGTATGTATATGTGTGTGTACATATATATGTACATATAAAATATTTTACTTACCCATTCATCAGTTGATGGGCTTTTTTATACTTTTAAAATTATCAATAATTATTTTATTTGGCATTTGCATATGATATAATGAATGTAGGCATACTCACATGCACATTTTTATTAATATGTTTTGTTAACATTGACTATAAAACTAAAAGTGGAATTGCTGGATCAAATGGAAACTTTATGTTTAACTTTTTGAGAAACCACCAACTGTTTTCCAAAGTGGGTGCATCCTTTTACATTCCCACCAGCAAATCGTAAGCGTTCCAATTTCTCCAAATCTTTTCCAACACTTGCTATTATCTGAGTTCTTGATTACAGCCATTCTAAAGAATATGAACTGAGATTGCACTGTGGTTTTGATTATTTGCATTTTCCCTGAGGACTAATGATGCTGAACATCTTTTCACATACTTGTTCATGTGCATATTTTCTTTGAATAAATGTCTATTCATGTCATTTGCTCACTTAAAAAACCAGATTGTTTTTAATTTTGATGAAGTCCAATTTCTTTATTATTTCTTTTGTTATTTGTAACTTTCATGTCATAGCTAAGAAGTTTTCACCTAATCCAAGGTCACAAATGTTACCATGTTTTCTTCCAAGAGTTTCATGGTTTTAGAACCCATGTTTAGGTCTATAATTCATTTTAACCTATATCCCAATCCCTTTCTAGTTTTTTGTTTTTGAGACAAGGTCTTCCTAAGTTGCTCAGGCTGGCCTCAGACTTGTAATCCTCCTGCCTCAGCCTCCTGCAACACTGGGTTTACTGCTGTAAACCACTGTACCCAATTTCTAATAAGTCTACTTCCTGAGGACTGTGTAAGAACTTGTTCACCTGCTGTTGAAATAAAAATAACAATAATTATCACAATTGGGAATCAACAAGCTCCGTGGATTTCAAATATGTGGATTGTAAGCATTTAAAAACTCAAAAGAAAAACACTGATTTTTATATGTCATTTAAGATAATTTTTTTTCTCTAAGTTTTTTAAGTGTGTGAATCCTTTGTGATACTCCACATATAAACTGAAGATGCATTTTATGTTCTCTTCCTTGCTTAATTGTTTAAGAAAGAAAAAATTTCCATATAATGTTGGACAGAAGTGGTGAGAACACACAGTCTAAAATTTTTACGGATAAAGAGGCAAAATATTTAGTGTTTCATCATTAAATATGTGGGGTTTTAAAGATGCCATTTATAAAATTAAGGAAGTCCCCTTTTCCCCTAGTTTGTTAAATGTTGTTATCATAAAAATGTATAGATTTTTTCAAATACTTTTTCTGTAATCTACTGAGATGATCAAGTATTTTTGACCTTTATTTTATTGATAACATGTTTTATATTCATTGAGTCTAGGATGTTATTAACAACCAATACTTCTGGGATTAATCTCATTTAATCATGGCATATAAACCTATTTATAAGCTAGATTCAGTTAGCTAGCCTTTTGCTAAGGATTTTTCTGGGTTCATAAGAGATATTGATCTCTACAAATGACTTCCATTACATATAACTGATTTGAGGATAACATAGTATTTTTAATAATATATAATGAAATACAAAGATCCAAAGGTTTGTTTCTTCTTACCTCAACATAATCTGTATCACAGTGGGCAGAACTTCCAATTTCAAAGCTAGTGAACTGGAGAAGAACAACTTGGCTTTGGGGCTGGCGTATGGTCCACCTACAGGTCCTTTCTCCAGGATATACATTGGGATAATAAGGGGAGCGAATGACTCCTTCTCCAGTTAATTCACCCCCACAAGCTGTAAATATAAAAATAATAGGACTGTTCATCAGAAATAAATAATTATTGGCCCCAATTTTATTGTAAATCCTAATTATGCCTAAGGAGATAACAGAATGTTACATTTTTTATGAGAATATTTTCCTCACCACTTGAGGACACAAAATGACTAAATTATTTTAAGAAACTAAAATGTTACAATCAAATAAATGATACACTTAAAATTAAGTAGAAATTTCCTTACCAACTTGATAAACAGCTCTGAAACCAGTCTTTTGGGTGGAATCATCTATTATAAGCCTGATCCAGATAGTGTTAGTAGTGGATGTAATGGGAGAGATTTCATTGTTACAGACTTTTCCAAGTAAGATATCATGATCTTGAACCTAAAAAAAAAGGTGAGATAGAACTGTAATCCTAATCAATAAAATTACTTTGGCATTATTTAGAGATAAGATAATGATAGATTGAAAGTGGACAATAATCTAATTTAGATAGTATTTATATTATATTTGAAAACAGTGGGTCACTTTTTAGCATGATTCTACATATTGATAAAAATCTTAAAGTCAACAAAAATCCATAAGAATTTTGCAGATGTCCTAATAATTTCCACAGTGTCAAAGAGGAAATCAATCTACAAGTCTGGACTGGCTCACAAACAACAAAAACAAAATTACTGCTATCAGAATATAAATGTTTTGACCAGATCTATAATCAAAAAAAAAAAGAAAGAAACATACAGAATTCATAAGTATGTTGAAGAACAGTTTTTGAGGGCGGTTGGGCAATAAGGATACAAAAGACAAATCTTGGGCAACTCTAATAAAGAAAATGAAAGCATAAATACACAAAATTAAAATGACAAAGATTCTACAAACATAGATTCTAAGAAATATTTCAAATATAACTTTGTGTCCATATATGTGAGTGTCTGAAATGAGTTATTTCCAGAAAAAAACACATAATTACTAAAATTATATCAAGAAGAAGAAAAATAAAATCTGAATAAACATAAGTCATGGATGAAATTAAAAACATTTTCAAATAATTAGTCCACCCATCCAAAAAGGAAAAACTCCCAGAAGATGTTATGCACTATTTGGTAGGTTCTTTTAAGTTTTTAAGAAACAAATTAATGCCTGTGTATAATTTGTTCTAAGGTGCCCTCAAATGAGAACCAAGTTCCAAGTATTTTTCCTCTGAATTGTTATCATATACCATCAGAGAGAATAAAAAATTATGAACTAATATCACCAACTCATATTGATACAAACATCTTAGACATGATTATAGAAAAATGAATCTGTAGTCATTGTTAGCATTATACACCAAATCAAGTATGGGAATAAAAGTAATTTATTATTATTGATTTATTATTATTATTATAAAAGTAATTTACATGTTTATTATTACATATAATTTCATCAATACATCCAATGGCATAAACCACATGGAAAATCTCTTCTTTGTCTTACTGAAGATATGTAGTTACTCTTGACATTTTTTGAAAGTGAAGCCAGAAAGTTTGTTAGCATCCTGATTGATTAAAGACAAAACTCTTAGAAATCTAGACAAGAATTTTTCTTCATTCAGTGAAAGCTACCTGTTTTAAGTCAATAATCAACTTTTATAGTGCAGTGAAAACATACCCTGTCTATGAACCTGGGTTCAAATCCTCCCTATCATTTACAAGTTTCCTCTTTTAATAACCTTGAGCTAGTTACTACATCTAAGCCTAACTCTAACAGTTGTTGAAGCAAATAAATAAAACAGTAGTGTGAATTCCTTGGTGAGATACCTAGTACCAGTTATCTAAAGAAAAGCTGTTACAGGCTGAGATTGTGGTTCAGTGATAGAGCACTTGCCTAGCACATGTGAGGCACTTGGTTCAATTATCAGCACCACATAAAAAATAAATAAAATAAAGGTATTGAGTCCATGTACAACTAAAAATATATTTTAAAAAGAAGAAGAGCTGTTGTTATTCTTGACAGTTCTTTTGGGGGAAGGTGGTACCAAGGATTGAACTCACGAGCACTCAACCACTGAGCCACATGCCCAGCCAGCCCTATTTTGTATTTTATTTAGAGACAGGGTCTCACTGAGTTGCTTAGCACCTCGCTTTTGCTGAGGCTGGCTTTGAACTCACGATCTTCCTGCTACAGCCTCCATTTTCAAAGGTAAAACACTGGAGGCTTATCATCATAATCAGAAATTATTCAATGGATATACATACTATTCCTGTTCTATAAAATTATTCTGGAGGATCTAGCCACCCAAATGTTACTTTATTAATTCACATTATCAAGGTATCAATGAGTACCAGACCTGTGCTGGCAAGAGCACTGTGAAATACAGTCACTGCTGGCAAGGGACTTGGAACAGGCAAGAGCTTATTCTTTTAAAGCATTTTGATAAATGTGACATCTGGGAAAGTGCAGGCTGCTGCATTATTACTAGACCAATGATTCTCAGTATGTACCCAAACTAGGCATTTGGAAAATTTGCAAGGGCATTTTTTTTGTAAGGGCATTATTAAAAACTTTCGTTATTATCACAATGATGGCTAGGTACTGTTGGCATTTAGTGGCGAAGGATCAAAGACACCAGCCAGCCAGAAATGTGGAAGACAGTCATTCACAAGGATGGTCCTAAAAATCCTAAGGATCCTCCTAAGACCTGTGTGACATTGGTATAGGTGAAAGTTTTGTAATTAAGCATAAAAATGTTGCATAGTTTCACACATTAAAAACAAATGTCCTCACCCAATTTTAATACATGCTGAATTTTTCAGAAGAATGAGCATAAACGAAAAGAATTTTTTTCTCCCAGGAAACCTGCCAAAGGTTGGTCACCGTTTCAGAAAAATTAGTTACCAACCCGCACAGCCTTGTCAGCCTACATTTGTTCTGCAGTGTTCACGGCAATTTAGGATACGAACAGCTGACTGCTTCATTTGGTCTTCAAGTACAACTTGCTCAAGATTTTCACATACTGAACTAAATGTGATTCTTATTTTGTTGTTTTATTTCTCCTCAATTTTGTGCTTAAAAATGTATATTTTTTAATTATAGTGTGTGTAATGAGCTTATATCATCAATGAATTTCACTGCAGAATAGCAAAAGGTGACAACAAGATCTTAAAACCTAAACCCAGTGGCGTAACCAAAGACTCTGAACTCATCTAGCAGATTAATGGAACAGATCTTAGCAGAAATAAACTGCAAGAGGAGAACTGAAGGCCAAGTAGGAATTAGCTAAGTGAGTAGCAAAGGGCAGATTTTTAAAGCATATTCAAGCTGGTGGGGATATTGTGACATCATTACTCTCAACCCTAACTGGTAGAAGTATAAAGTTTGGGAAGATTTACTTGACAATATGTATCCTGAGTGGCCTAACACTTTATCCCCAAAATATTCAAGATGCAGACCCAGATGCACCCAGACACAGATCAAAGTATGCTCTCTAATGACAATGACTAAAACTATTCTAAAGTTCTAATAATAGGTGGGTGACTAAATAAATTATGGCTCAGCCATATGATTGAGACAGACATTTTAAAAAAATCACATGCCTCTCCACTGACTCACGCTCATACCAGTTCTTTTCTGAAAGCTCTTACAACATCTGCAACACAAATTTCACATATTGAAATAAAGGATACTAAATTTCTCTCTAACCAAACAGAAAATCTCGGAGAGAAGGGAAGGCTTCTGTGTCCCCTTCAACATCTAGCAATAAACTTTGCAAATAGGGATTTGAATAATTCTTGTTGATTCATTCATTTTAAGGTACAGGATGATGTTCCAATTTTTTTATTTTTCTTTTTTTTTTTCCTTTTTAGATATGTAGACATGCTACAGTTCCTGAAAACCAGAAAGCATTAAACACAGAGAAAGATGTCTTCCTGCTCTCTAATCCTCCCGGGTTCTATTTGCTTTTTCTAAGATTATAGTCTCTCTTTTCTATTTCACCCATTAGAAGATGACAAGAAGGAAGAAAAACAGCCCAATAGCATCAGTGCAAGCTTAAGTGAATCATTCCCCTTGGACCTGATTAATGAAACTCAAGGACTTTAGCAAGGAGAAAGGCAGCTGCAGTCCACATGTTTTAAGAGTAACTTATAGGGCTCAAGGGCTCTAAACCTAGAAGGTACAATTGATTTTCACTATCTCTCTCCTTCTCTCTCTCTCTCTCTCTCTGAATTCTTATTAACTCTAAAAACCTATATTTTCCCTGGATCCCAGACATGGCAATGCATTAACCATCACTCTTTCAAAAAAGACATTGAAATAAAATTTATCAAATGTTCTAAAGTGACCCAAATATTTTTGCAATACCACTTGCATTCAATATTCTAAGATTTGTGAACTTGTCTTTTTCCTTTGTACTTGTGAAGAAGGATAGACTGCATTATTTTTTCATCATGAGTCACTTCCCTCACATAAGAGGATTGAATATCTATGCTCTTTGCCATGTGACTTGCCATGTCTCTCTATGGAGAATTAATACTTACCCTTCCCATTGACTGAGCTTACCCATAGGAATTGCTATGCCTAACAGAATGTATGTAGAAGCAATATACTAATTTCCAAGTAGAGGCTTTGGCTCTTGTTGCATGATCTGAATGTCTTTTACTTTTCCCTCTCATAAAACCAAAAGCCTGGATCCCAAGATGTAGGAAATAGCAGCAGAGATTTGGGGCAGAACTGATTCAAAACCAATATGTTATCATGAGCAAAACAAAAACCTTATTTGTAAGCCACAGAAATTTTTTGTTTGGTAACCTTTATGATTTCCCTGGAATTTGTTATTGTTTCTTATTTCAGGATAACTTAGAGAAAGAAGAATATCTGAAGCTCGTTTGTAGTAACAAAGAGCTTTTCTTAAGAAATCAGATGAAGTCATGTCACAATTACTTGAAGAGGGATCACAATAAGTCCATTCTTTTTAATGAATCACACTTGCAAAGAAGTGACAGGAATCAATGCAAAATTCTAGGGTTCTGTGCATTAGGCTCAGATCTCTCACTGATTTCTTCTTTCATCAAGTAACTCTAAATAATTCAGGTCCTGAGCCCCACTCCAATACAAAACCCCGTGACCAAGAAGTTTTAATCTATGGGGTATTCAAGATAGCTAACATGATATTTTAGATGGAATTTTACATTTACAGGGTGAACTAATTCCTGAAAAGAAAGTATACACTTTAAAAAATAATGAGTTCTTATAAAGAAACTATTTTCTGTACAGAGAGCTAACGTTAACCAGGCTGAAGAAACACAACTTTTACAACATTTTAAGTGTGAGAGCTAGAGCCCAGGAAGCAGTAAGCTTTAACATCTGGAATGGATCAGGTCTCAAAGCCATATCTTAATGCATGT